TTTTAGGTTTAGGTCACTGACATCCCAGAAGAATCAGAGTTCTAACATTAGAATCATGCTCAAATCAGTACAATGAATGCCCAACCATCGCCATTATCATCACACTAATCTGTACTAAATCCATTCAGAGATTAATGCGAATAACAGAGATAAGCATACACTTGAAGATCCATATAAACACCAAGAGGGGAGTTTTATACCTCGACAAGGTGGAGATTTGATGCACGACTTAGGAGAACGAAAGCAAACTCCCCGATCTGGGCCAGGGACATCCCAACCTGGAGAGATCAGGAGCGAGAAGGAAAGCTCAGCAGGGCAAGAGGCACGATGAGGATATCGGCATATATACAGAGAGAAATAGTCGTACAAGGAGGGAGGTCTTGTTCGTGTAGCCGAAGCCTTTGACAACGGCAGTGATCACAATCGTCTTCACAATCACCACCAAAATTACGGCGGCCAGAAGGATATCCACGTGATTCCAGAGGAAATGCACGTGGATTAGCATTCCAATGCTGGCGAGGAAGAGAGCAGCGAAGAAATTGCGGATGGGTTCGATCTGCATGGAAAGAATATTTCAAATAAGAGGGTGTATAAGGAATAAGATAAGATCTAACTATTTATGATAATTTACTCTCCTTTTCAACGAGGTAATTAGCCATATTTATGATAATTAAAGTAACAATTTGAATAATGCCATAATGAACGTTGCATGAAGCATATTATAATTAGGGAACATGCCTTGAAATAACAATCAAAATTAGCACTGAAAAGAAAAAGGCTATATATTAAGTGGAAAACTCGATAATAATGAAGATGATGGTTCAGGTTCAAGTTTACTGGCACTGGAACTGTAACAGCTAATATCCAGTTTGAGTAAAAGTCAACTTAAAATTCATCAACTTAGACCCACTTCTCCATGAACGATTGGATCGGGCAGAATTGGAAAATGGAAAGATGTGCATAAGCTAGACATTTGGCCGCCGTTTTCTGGAAATTGCAAGCTTTTGTTCATCTTAGCATTTAATAACTTATGAGCAGATTTTGTTAAAAAAGGATTTGATACTTGACAAATTTAGTCAGAAGTTTCTAGTACTGAGATATTTTTTAACGGATGAAGAATATCTGTTCAAGTACTTTGGATTTCAAGGTGATTTTGGGAACTCTAGCACGGGTCACCATCTCAACCACAAGCAGCACCTCTTTTTCTTTCCACGCCAACTCAAAAAGTTTTTCCTTCTTTTTTTCTACGCGTATTCCTTAAAGATATTAAATCATTTATGAGCATGGGATTTTAAACATAAAAACCTAAGACTTTAATGAAGAGAACTATCAGAAGAATTAGTGTGAACTGTGGAACGGAAACCAAAGAACTAACCATACATTTTTTTTTTTTTTTACCAGAGATTAAATAAATATGAATGGATGTCAATAAGAAAAAGGGGCCTTCTTCCTGAATATCAGTATAATCCCTAATATAAAAATGTATGAAAAGTACGGTCGTGCAGAAATAAAATACCACTGAAATAAAATTGAATAAATACCGAAGACATAACATTAACAAATATGATCCCGAACGGGAATTCAAAACAATTTCTACAACTGATAAATGACACTTATCAAAAGTAGAATATTACTTGTTCAAGAGTATGTTGTGAGAGATCAGTGGTTGAGATCATTACTCCAGCAGCAAAAGATCCCAGCTCAAGGCTAAGACCCAACTTGTCGCTACACTGGTGTAATGAGGAAAATCCTGATTAATACATACTCATAAATAGTATTTATCACATAGAAAACATGGAAAATAAAGGGGTTCCACAGAAGCCTCTCTCTCTCTCTCTCTCTCTCTCTCTCTTTTTTTTTGAATGTGAGAGTTTGAAGGGTATTATTAGATGAATCCTCACTTATGAAGCTCACTTTTGACGAAAAAGGAATGCCCACCTTTCCCTATGATTAAAAACATATTCCTACTTTTTATCAGCTTATACGTCAATTCAATAGACAGAATGTTAGAGCAAATCTCTTGTTATGGAAAACTAGAAATATTAACTGCCAACAGATATGCAAGGGTATTAATGCTCTAGAGAATATGCAAGCGTAAAAAGTGTAAATAAATAAGTGATAGGATGTAAACCCAGGCTATGCAGCTATATAGCAAACATCTGGGAGAGGATGTAATAAACGTGGTCACTTACAATTTGTAAGAAGTCAGTCATGGTCTTGCAATCATTAATACTATAATGGTAAAAATCAGCAATTTTAGGTTAACATATATAGCACCATCAAACGTTCAACCAAAATCCCGGAAGGAAAATGATAGGAACCCTGATTTGGAACAGATGACACAAAAGTACATGAAAGAAATAAAACCTTTGAAATTGCTAAAAATATGAGCAGTTAAAAACATCTAATTGAGAGCTTCATACTGAGGATCCTAGTGGAAAAGTTAAAAAAAAACTCCGTAAATTAGCCCTCAGATGCTGATAACTCATAATTTAGTAAGACAATGAGTTCCAGATAATTTGCTCATTAGATTTTCAATTATGAAAGAACACAAGATGCACTGGTTATTAATTGAAAGCAAGAATTCATCCTACACAATGGCATAAACATCGTGATTCCCAGTTAACCGAAACAAGGATTTGACTAGAAGACTATAAAAACTGAAACAAGAATACATGAATGAAGTGACGAGTGGCTAACCCAAGCAACAAGCAAGCAGAATGCTACGGATGCTAGCTGATAAAGTTCATTGGTCTGCACAAAGGAAAACATTCTATAAGCGAAAAGGGACTACACAAGTGTTATGGTATGACGTTAAAAATAAATTGGTTTTTCTTTTTTTTTCTTTTTTTTTGGTTGGGCGTGGGGGTGTTCAGACACACATACCTGAGATGACAGACTAATCATAAGCTTAAGAAACCATGGGACACATTTGCGGGATAGTAATGACAGAATAGCCAAGAAAGTGCACAGCACAATTAACCTTGCACAAAAGAAAAAAAAAATACAACAAAAACTTTATTAAACAACTTAATAATAGAGAAAATAAAAAGAAAATTGAATGATAATAATAAATATGATTCTCGGATTATATTTTCATTTTCCTACACAACTAGGTGTTGATAAGCACTTTACTAGATATAGGCACATTTTAAATATCTGAATATCAAATAAAAGAATAAACTGGGAAATAACACAATATCAAAAAGTAGGAGAGTCGAGGAGAAACGTAGAGACCAATCTCTACAGAAAACTGATATCGGGATGCTAGCTAAAATTACTTCATTATTGAAAAAAATTATTAATAAAAGGAAAAAAAATCGTGTCAACCACAACGGGACGACTTTTGCAGCCATAACAGAAGAATGAGACAAGTACTGACGACTTAGCCATGGACATCACTCCTTGAAGGACACCTGATGTACCACCCAGAACTGGAAGCAAGGCAAACAGCAGGCCAACAGCACAATCCTGAAAGCCAAAAGAGTGTGAGAAATTTCGTTCAGCTAAGATAAAAAAAAATTAACAGAAGTTTTAGAGCTCAAACATATAAATGAATAAAATTCACTTAGCACCAGAGAAATCCAAAATACAATGTAATGCCATACAGACGAATTAGAACACATTTTTAACCTGAAGTATAAGGGTGCCAACCGTGACTTGACCATGAAGAGCGTTTATACTGTTTCTTTCCATTAGAAACTTCAAAACCTGCGAGACATGGAAGAAAAAGCTTTTACTCCACTTTCGCTACTACGGATTTAAATTAAAACTGCCTGTCAATTTTCGCCTGAGATATCGGAATTCTTGATCCAAATCCTAATCGCATATCACAAAGATTGTATTAGAGAAATAGCAACCACTAGAATTAACTACACGTTCTGACATCTGACATAGAGAAGTTGTTATGCAAGAAATAATATAAAGTTATGGGCGCTAGTGTCTGTTCTGGGGGGAATATAATGTAATAGTGCACTAACTATAATAAGACATTGATCTCAACCAAATGGGCTATTTCTGTAATCACATTCTTTTATAATAATCAATATGGGACTATCCTAATCTGTAGTGGACAAACTCTAAAAAAAGGGTCACTTTTCTGAATATTCTGAAATCTAGTAGAGAGTATAAATTTAAGAGACTGTAAAAGATACTTGCATAGGAGAATATAATGTAATAGTGTAATAATCAATGAGGGCTCATACAATCACGAATGCGTTTGATATACAGAGTACTCCCATTCGAATATTTTCATCACCAAAGAATTCGCGGTCCATGTGCCACAAACTTGGGTGCAATTGGTTCGGTTTGAGTTGACTATAACATGGCCTGTCGAAGAAGGTTTTCAAATGATGAAAACTAACAAACTTCGAGAAGACCACCTGAACCCGAACCTAACGAAACTGCACACACCCTGAACCTCAACTTAACGCCCATAGCTGAATCACGTTAGCAGTCAATCCGATCCAGTTCTAATATAACTACTGTGTGTAATCTTATGTATCTGATAGATAAATACAACGTTAATGATTTTTTTTTACAATAATACAGATTCTATAAGGTCAAGTAAAGCTGAAACAAGAGATCAATTCAGATTGAACATTTGCTCCACTGGAACCCAGTTCAGGTAGCTGCAAGGCAGGCCTGACTGACCCCAAGTTTTTCTTATTCTGATAAAGTTCAGGTTGACTTTCTACGTCAATAAGGGGTCGGGATTTTACCCTGAAGGGCAGAAAAGTCCAGCAGTTCAGAGTAAAAAAATAGCACTTTTCAAAGAGAAGTTGTTGTTGCAGAAATTTAGTGAACGTGACTCCTATGAATGGAAACTAATTTGCTGAAGTACAATCAATTATGTCTCGTAATATCCTGACTCTATGTCTGTATTTAGGCGGGATATTCTTGCTCAAACTTCAGCAACGACCTCGTTGTGAGAACTTAACAAATATGAAAACCAAGACATTGCAACGACCTGTGTCTAATGAAAATAAGAAACTATACAGAACATAAAAGAGTACCACAGCCGTTGAAGACATTGAGAGGAGTGCACCAACAAAAGCTCCCTCAGAGGATTTTCCACCACATAACTGGAGAAAAAAGTAAAGTCACACATAATGAGAACCAGTATGCAGCAAATATGAAACAACACATTATTCACCATAATATCATCCTTTACATAGCCACAAGAAAATAAAAGCCACGAGATGTAAATTACTATTTTCAGTGAAGAGCTTATATTGCATATCATGGCGCCTTAAAGTGTCCGAGTTCGGACAGATGTATTGAATGCGTTACCTCTCATCATTCCAGGGTTGGATTAGATCTAATTCCAGTCTCAACGGACACAACTACAAGTTAGCAAGGGAATTGTTGATGTCAACATGAATTATAAGACAAACTGAAGTGAATTAATTGTGCCATTCATATTGATAAACTTTATGGAGAACCCATGCACTAAAGAATCCATACTCCCTGAGTATGGATTCTTTACAGTTTCCTCTCCTCTAACAATCCATACTCCCTGAGTTATTCCAAAAAAATGGTTCAGAGGATAAGAATGACAGACCAAAGCAATGAGGAAGAAGATGGGAAACTTAAAGTGCCCCAATGGAAAGAGTTGAACAGAAGCACTAAAGAACAAACTAATTTCGGTTTCATCATAACAAAACTATTTTGAATTGGCGGCAAGACTCCCTTGAAAAGAAACAGGAATCAGATAATAAGAAAATCTAAGGAATATAACAACTAGTCTCGTTAAAAAGTAATTAACTAACAAAAAATAGACCTAAAATAATGCAACTTACCGATTAAGGAAATCAACGAAAATGGAAAATCCTAATAATGGAAGACAAAATAAAAACATTAAGACGTTGAAGGACACCCATAATGGTGCCAGAACTAGAAGTGAACATGTGACAAACTATATCATACTCTACGTCAATTGTTATTCCTTAATTAACAGGAAAATACCAGGAGTGAATGGTCTATTACATTCATCCTCCAGCCAGTAATAGTAGAGCTTTTTTACTTTAAAATGACAACTTTGGAGCCATTTACCAGCCAAACTAAACAAGTTAGAACCTTCATTATCAAAAACTTGTGTTGAGGGTCCTTAGCCTGGCATCAATATTTCATGCACACATGTGATAACCAAAATGCATTCATGTCCACGAAGTTAAAAAGGGCATCTACAGACTGTCTTTTCAACTTTGTTCACCGTCATACCGCTATAGTTTCAGTAGTATGTCGAGTTCTATCATGTTAACAGGGGACCACAAGATCAGTAGGCAGTCATGCAACAACTCCCATTGGCAAGGAGGGTTCCTCCCCAGCATATTTCTGTAAGTAGACTTTTTGTCATTAGATTTCATAAACTCGCCTAGTTTAATAAAGATAACTTCAGCAACATAAAACTTTGTAGAATTATGTTCTATGGTTTCTTCACCTAGACAGTTGCTAAGGAACAGCAATTACGTGCTTTATATTGACAAAATCTGCTGTCATCTCATAATTTGGTTACATTCCAACATGACATCAGAGCATGTTTATATGCCAAGATATGCTCTCTTATAGTAGGGATTGGAAGGAAGGCCAGTTGCTTCTCTTTTCTTTGCCATGTGCTATCACATTTTTGTCTTATCCTCCATCCTGGTCACAGAAGAGATTTGTTGTAGAATTTTGGGATGTTCTCCAAAAGATACGAATACTGAGCTCTTTACATTAGGATACGATTACTACTCCAACCTCATTGGGATATGCTCTGCCAACACAGGATCCCAGAGAAATATTCTTTCCTCCATGACATTGTCAAACAAGATGTCTTTGAAAGCTAAAAATGTTTCTATTTCAGCATCAGTCAGGCTTCCTCAAAATTGGAAGGCCACCTTCCTCCAGCTAAGTTTCCGTTTTCCATCAAAGATGAAGTTGGTAACCAAGGATCGGTTCAAAGGAAAAAAAATACTTTAGAGCAAAGCACAAAGAAATGTAACTTTCGTAGCGCAAACATTTAATTTCATAGTAAGCAATCGATCTTATTTTAACATGGTAATAATGGCTCTTTTGGGTGGGTTGTGGGGTTTGATTATGTATGAATTCACATAATGGCATTATATATTCACAAAAGCCAAGACACTCTTGAGCTGGATAGTACAAATCAATTTGGATTAATAAAGTTGCACAGGGAAACCCATCTAATGCTTTATTTTCATAGAAGCAGAATAATACCGATGCTGCAAATCCACATAAGCATATAAACAGAAATATTTGGAGCAGACCACCTAGAACAGCAACTGCACGAACAACTCGAAGCTGTGCAAATGAATGTTAGAAACACAGGAGTCATATCCATCTCAACAAGGATAAAACTTAAGCAACAAAATAATGGAAAATAGGCGTAGTGTTTGGGTATTTCAAGACAACACGCATCATCCCTAGGTACCATGTGTGTGCTTGATTAGGAGTAGAAATAAAGAGAAATGAGGCGAGGATACCGAACCTTTGCCATGGAGAATTCCAATCCCAAAGCAAAAAGAAGGAAAATAACTCCAAACTGAGCAACTGTTTCAACCTATATGAGATGCAAACCAACGTATTAGTCTAAACAAGAACACAAACCAACATGATATCTAACATACCAGTAGATGTGACATGCGCCAACAGTCCAGGTATTACACAACTTATGGTTAGAAAAAAAAACAAAATTTCATGTGTAGCTATTGGAAAAGTTCATTTACGCTAGATCCTTCCATTAATGACTTTTCCACACCAGATTTTTCATGACACCCAAAAACTAATTTTAGTCTAGTTATGAATGCATGAATATAGGTCGAAAAGCCCTTTGATGGCCTTTTCGATCATCAAAGGCCATCAAATGTGGCCTTTGATGGTCGAAAAGAAAAGATCATTTTAAGAAGGCAATACCCTCTGAAGAAAAAGGGGGTAAGAACTGATTCGGGCGATCAGAGCATAGTTTATAGGGATAAAGACTATTTTTTTATTCTAAACTCTCATGGACATTCTTGATGATGGCCATGATGCTGGTCCTCTTATTACTATCAACTGATCAGTCAAATTTATTTAGTGAAAGAGGTTTTTATGCTTAACTTTTATGCTTCGTGCTGTGGAAAGATTTCTCCACCCACCACAGCAGGAAGTTTGTAGAAAGAAGATAGTATAATCTTTTGATCATCTACTTTTAAAGCTGATGATGATGCAACCACAATAGCAGCTCCTTAGTCCAGTATTCTAGTGTTTCTAGGCAGATTTCACTTCCCTTTCAAAACATTTATTTGTTTACTTTGCACCTCTGTACCCAGCCCCAATCTTATGTTTCCGATTTTCCTGCTTTTACAGAACCAGATATGGCCATTTCAGAAAATCTAAATCGTGCAACTTGCAGGCCAACTGAAACCGATTAGAGCAGTCCCAATCCAGTGTTTAGGTTTCGAATGTATGCACCACAGGTTATATGAGCTTGTTACCCAGGCAGAATTAATCCTCCCTAAGTGAAGGTATTAGGCAATACACCATGATGACCGATTCCCAGAACATATCACGTCTTACACATGCTTCTATCAAAGAAAACTCACTTGCACCAACTCACTGACGAAGCTCAAACCACCAGGCCCAATAACAGATCCAGCTAGCAAATATCCAGTGATAACCTGCGTTGAACTCCAATCAGCCAATATAGTATAAATACTACCGTGCAAAACCTGAGATGGACTTTTGTCAGACAGGTATGTTCCGGAGTACGGAAAGCTATTCATCTACTTTTGGAAAGCACCATTAATAGGACATTGGTTCCACTTTTCAATGAAGTGTAAAACATATATAAGACACTAACTGGTTGTCCAGCACATGCAAAGGCAATTCCACCACAAGTCGCAGACACAATGACCACCACAAGATCAGATATCAACCTACAAACAAATGAGTTAGAGAATGTCAAGATGGAAAAAGATATCTACTATCATCTGAAAAAAAGAAATAATTAACAAGTGTACCTGAGGTCTAACTGTAGCACAGGATATTTTGATTTGGGATTTGAGATGATGAAAACATTGTCCTGAAAACATCATTACACATATATCCAGCGGTTAAGTTATTCAGATCAAATATGCCAGGAAATGCAATCCATTTTAATTTCTCCTACAATATAATGAACCATACTTTCCGATCTATAAGGGTAGGTATTTCCTCTGCTTGATTCTCAGAATCCAAGTTAAAAACATTGTGAAATTGGAAAGACCTGAAAAGAAGTTGTTAAAATGAGAATGTCCAGTGGCATTAATGGCTGAAAGGTTCGTATATTAAACTATTATAGGCAATGATTGAATCAAAATTTCCCTGAAGTCAATAAATAAATGCTATTTAGGAGTCAACATCAATGCATACCTGTCCTCTTTGGAATCATTTTTCTTTGGCGTGACTCTGGCCACAGTTTCCAAAACGGCCTAGTAAGATAAAACATCAAGGGAATCATATAATTGCTAAAACTTCTGGAATATTATGTTTCTCCACTTCTAGCTGTTGAAGTTAATATTATCCTGGACACATATCTCACCGGGTGAATTCACATTTACATCATGCATTCACATACATTATATGAAGTAAGAGGGTATTGACGAGGCTGCAGATTCAAAGAGAATCCGAAGTATGCAGTGTTTATCAGCAAGATCAGCTTCACATTAAGCATTCTCAGATTGATAGAGGAATCAGTTGTAGTGACTGATTTGGGATATCCTCCAACTTCGAAATCAATAAAGAAGCCTTGATTCTAAAAAGGCATTAACTAAGAAACAGAAAATTAAGACAGCCGCTTCTTTAGTCAGCTGTATACCAATGGCTTCATGATATAAATTAATAGGGAGGCCAGGAGTAATTGAGAAAGAAAGACCATTAAAAAAGACAATGCCACACTTCGAAATTGCTTTAAAAGGCGTCACCATGGAGGCGGGGATTTTCTAAATTGGCTATTTAATACTTCCAAAGGAGAATAACATGATGTTAGAAAGTTAAGTAAATGTAGGAGGCACAGTTCCTAAGAAAACATGAGCTTATTTGAGATCTCTGGACCGGAAAGTCCAGTGGTCGCCACACGTTTCACATTGCTGGAACCTATAAACCACAGAACAGATACTGAATAGTGTATGCATTTATTTGAGGACCAACTGCCACATATATGACCACAAGTAGGCCCAAGTGCTCATAGGAGGAAATTAACCACAAGTAGCCACGTTTTTGAGTTTCACATGGAAAGTTAATGCATAGAGTCGTCTGTAAGATAGAGTTACCTTGACAATATAAAGACGAAAAGTTTAGAAAAGAAACCTGCTTTTCGGCAACACTATTGTTAAAGCTTCCAGCATCAGTTTCTGCAAAAGAAGCACATACATTCTTCTTTCATTTTCTATCAAGTTTGGAAAAATCCCAATTTTAGGCATGTGCATTTGAAGGAATTAGTATACTACAACAAAGCAAGAGGCATTGCAATTTAAACCGTGTTTCATTCAATGTGGGTAACCACCCCCACTTCAATGCAAGGGTAACACGAAAGCAGAACGAGAAAAACAACAACGACTAGAGAACGTACAAAAGAGATATAACACGTTAGATTTGGATACGACCCTAGAGATCAATTTCCAAATTGAGCCCAATCACGAGCCCTAATTTATAAACTGCACCGGAGTGCGGAGCCCTCTCGCAAAGCAAATCTGAGAAACAATTGAAAGGAGAACCAGAGGACACGAACGTGCCATGAACATTCGGGTGGTGGCAGGAGAATGGGGTCAGGAGTCCAGATCCACTCACCTCCGCCGGTCTGCTCGCTGTCGGGGAACTCCTTCTCCAAGGCCCGATCGATCAGGTCCGCGAAGCTGCCCTCCTTCCCCGTGGCAATCGTGGTATTCGTCTGCTCGGTGTCATCGCCCCGCGTTAATGAGGGGCAGAGGAGAAGGGGGAAGAAGACGGACACCAGGAGGAGAATGCGGGTGCGGGGGGGAGCAGGAATGAGACAGCTCCTCATCGCAGGGGGAGCCCGGTGGAAGAAAACCAGTGAACACCAGGAGGGAGAGTCTGCAGGCTCTGGTTGAAGTAATGATCTCTCCCCGATTTACTGGAAGCCCGCCGACGGAGCGGGGTCATATCCTGGAGAAAGAGAGAGAGAGAGAGAGAGCGCTACAGACACAGAGAGCGACAGAGAGAGAGAGAGCAAGTTGACTCCAAGTTATAGGTTTGTAAAGTGGGAGTGTTTTTGTGTTTTCTCCGAAGTTAAATCATACATTACACACATAACCTTAAAAGTAAACTATTAATTTTATACGTCACAGCTGATAAACCTCCGTTCCAAATTTATTATTCAACCCAAATTTATTTATTTATGACAACCAAACCTCTTAGACGCTCCTCTTGAAAAAATAGTACAGCGATAGTAAATTAGCGCTCCCTAGGGACCAAATTAAAGAAAAACTTGGTTCAAAAATTTGAAAATAAGTTATTCGCTTTTGTCTCTCAACATTAGAATTTTTTCTATTAAATATCAATATTCTTTATTTTTTCATAACAAAAAATGATGAATAAAGTAAAAATAAAAATAGGTCCAAATAAACCATAGCAAAATAAAATAGACCCAGCAATGTACCATTTTAAATTTTTTTAAATAACTATTTTTTATAGAAACCTATGTTTATAGTTTGTATTAGGGTAATCCTTTGTTATGATTATGATTCCAATTTTTGTGTAGCCCCACATGATTAAAGCACGATTTTTGCTATAAATAATGACTATATATAATATATTACAATATAGATTAAAATACATTGAAATTTCTATTTGTGCCCCCCTCCTACCCCAATTCTTCAAGCCCGAACTCAATCTTAGCTTGGCCCATCTAGGACATACATATTGGCCATGTTTATGTGGCCTGACTTTATAAGGTTTGAATCCTCCCAACTCGACCCATTGAAACGAAATAGTGTGGCCCGTCAAAGATGACACTAGTAAAGCTGGGAAATATTTTAGAATAAATAAATCAATCATAAGGATAAAAATAAATCTCTGAGTCAATCATAAAAATAAAAAATAATCATAAGGTTACAAAAATAGTATAAAATATCTACGTCAATCATAAGGATGTAAGCTAATATTTAATAATATTTTAGAATTTTTAAAAAACATTATTATTATTTATTATTATTAAACTAAATAATAATTATAAAATATATTTAAAATTTTATAAAAAGAGAAATAAGGTGCAGGTGTCAAGATGACATTAGTACATCAATAAATATAATTTGAATAAAAATAAAATTTTATCTGATAATTCTTATGTAGTAATTATAGATAATTTAATTGATCAAATTAAGATCTCTAAAAGTCAAAAGAGTCGTAATTAAATAAAAAATATTTTTGAAAGTTAATATCACACAATATGTCACTAAATTAAGCAAAATTTAAGTTTAAAGTATGAATGACAAAGTTCTAATTCTACAATAGTGATTGTCGAAATTCTATGTGTTTGAGAGGATTATCATACGATATCCATAACCTCAAAAGTTTTCATTGGACAACAATAACATTAGTAATCTCTAGATCTTCTTATGAAGTCTAGAAAATAATAAGATGGGTTGATGAATTGTCTTCGGCGGCTATCACTTGATAGAATAGAAAATAACGACTTTCGGATCTCCAACAGTTGACACACAACAAAGATGAGTTGGATAAAGGTGAGATACATCTTCGGGAGCATCATCCTTAGGTCTGCATAGTAAAAAGAGACTCTTCCTTGCATCTGGTACATTCTCAAGATTGTTCCCTTCTCCTAATGAATTGTTCTCTTCTTGATGACAATTGATTCATCAATCAATTGAAAATAATTTACTTGATAAATTTATTATCTTTTTATCAAGAATCATTTGGCAATCACATTGATGATATTTTCACTAATAATTGAGTGATTATGACAACTTAATCATTAATTGACACTCTATAGAAAAATTATAATTTAATTAGATAAAAATATAAGTTTTGGCTTTGGTGAGATTTGAATTTCAAGTATTATAAGTATATATGTGAGAGTATTGCCATGGGTTTAGTCTCACATGAACTATTTTTTGATTTCTGAGATATATATATAGTAAGACATTATCATGATATCAGTATTGTCTTCTCACATGTATACGACCACTCCTTTCCTTATATTTGATTGGCCACTAGTGACAAGGAAGAAGAGTGATGCACACAATGCTTCTTATTAGTCCATAACTACTTGAGCCACTTACTTGTGGTTTTACCTAATTGTGCTTCTGACCTATTTGTGAGCTTGACTAGTTGGTTGATCTTCACCCTTTTTTTTCATATATTTATTTTTATTTTATCTCAAAAAATTCACACAAAATCATATAATTAGACATAAAATTCATATTGATCAATTAAAAAATATTTTTTATAATTTAACACAAATATAAGTATATTTATCATGATTTAAGACTTAAAATATATTATTAATTAATTATTAACTCATGATAATGAAGACTTATTACCTCCTTATTTTCTTTTATTTATGACCCTTTTATTCGGAGGTAACCCATGTGCATTCTCTAAAAGGTTCTTATTATCTCGCTTGTCAGTTAAAAGCCTTCTAAAATCTCACCTTTAGTTTTTCTCTAATTGGACTAAGGCATTCCTCATTCTAAGGTAAGTGTGTGTAGCCTTATCACTCTCCTTTTGAGCTTTAAATAAATAAAAAAAACTAGTATTTAGAATAACATATGAGGCAAGGAAGATTTAGTTCACTCACAAATAGATAAGTATTGGTATGTGACTTAGGAGTCTCTATTGTTCCACATCTTACCCAATGAAAGACTAATGACAATCATTTGTGCATGATATTGGATGCTTGTTGTTTCTTAAGGAGTCATTATTTTCATATCATTGGCCATGCATGGGACATCACTTAACTCTTCTTAGAATAATACAAATAATAATAATAAATTATTCTTCAAAGCAATAAATGAGGCAAGTAATATGTTAATCATAAAGAGGGCAAATGTTGATATTAGACCTCGGAATCTACACTACACATCCCACGTAAAGTAAGAATGATGGCCGCTATTTACACACGAGATTGAATGTTTGTTGTTGCTTAAGGAGCCACTATTCAAATCACTGTCCAAACATAGGAGATTACTTAACTCTCCTTGAACTTTAGAAAAAAGAAAAAGAAGACCAATATTAGAGCAGCAAATAAGGTAAGAATTTAATCATAAAAAAGACAAGTGCTAATATCAAACTTTGGGATTGAAACTCATCCAAATCAAAGCGAAAGAAAGGCTTCTAGTCCAGATGTGTAGGGAACAACTGCCTTAAAGAGACTAACCCACTTAGGGTCTCAACCTCCTTGTTATATTCTACAAGAACATGCTTCTTGGATAATCTTGTAGAGTTCTTATAAAGCCTCCTTGTTGGAGACAAAAAAAGGCCCATAAGTCTAAAACCCCCCTCAATAAATGATCTTTAATACATATTGTAGGACATGACTCATTTGAATAAACATCTAAATCGAAGTCAAGGTATTGTGAGTGAGATGCATAAGGCTCAGATTTCATGGAATTTTTTTTGCAAATATAAAACATTTAATATTCCCTAGAACATGTGAAATTAAATACTAAGATAATACTTATCAATGGTAATTTTGATTATGATCCAAGGATAAAAATAAACACTCCATATTCCATCAATGTGGGCTAAATTTGCTAACTTTTTTTAGCAACATTCTAATGATTTGAGCAAGTTTTATTTTTTGGCCAAGCAAAAATCTTCATAATCATGTAATTAAGGAGGTATTATAGAAGGTATCTAGGAATTGAGAGTGGTAGAAGAAAGAGTGGTAGTAGGCACCTATCACCAATTCAGAACTTCTCTTTGTGGCTTGACACGAACATGGGACCCACAAATATAGTGTGGATTCTTCTAAGATATAACCATTCTTGCAATCTATTGGCTCTCAAAGGTGACAAAATCAAACATGTGCTGATGTTGGGTTGAAATTCTTAGATCAATCACACACTCAAATTGTTTGATGTAGAGAAAAAAATATTAAAAGAACTTATAACCATGGTGCATAAATTATGCAAAAAATAGCATTGATTATTAGTTACCTAAAATAGTTGGCCACATCATCCTCATCTAATGAGCTATTAGAAGGAAAGGTAAAATAAATATGCTGGGAACCAAAAACGTTACTTCCCATCTCATTCTTTGCACTCCCAAGTTGTAGATATTTCAAAGCATCCTCCACCAACATAATTGAATGCTGCCCATGTGGCTTGAAAATTTGAAAGTTTTAAAATATATATTAATAAAATGTTGAATCTCATAAAATGAAAAAATATAGAGTTAAAAATTATAAACCATCAATTATAAAATCGCCATGAGTGCCAACCATAAAAAATATATTTTTACTATCAAAAGGAAGTGATCCAACCTATTACTTATCTAGAATTTGAATAGTATTCTTCAAACGACCAAGCAATCTAGTCAAGTTGAAGTCAGGCTTCTCATGCCTCTGGCTCTCAATGAGATACCCATATGCCTGCAGCATCACCATACCTCTCTATGTACGTCGTAGGTAGTATTGTGATGGAGATGAGATGTCCCCTCTTTGACTTGAGAAGGTCTACGAGCTCAAGCTCCAATTTTTCGAGCGAACCAGATGGGACCACTTGGTCTTGGCCCCCCAACTCACTAGAATTTGGTGGGGTCAGACCAAGAGTCAACTGATCATGGAGGTAGCAACAGTTGACGCCATGCTTGCAGTAGCCCTTGGGGTAGTAATGGCAGGCCTTGGGAAACAGCTTGGGTAGACTCGTTGACCTCCTCCTTGATCTAGCCACCAGGTGCCCCTTGGTAGGATCCTCTTAAAAGTAAGAGCCGTACATGAGCTTACCATAGTAGCCATAATTGTCCTCCCATAGAGGAGCTCCATGAATCATATCCAAATTGGGTAAAGCTTTTTGTGATTCTAGTGCAATATGTGGTCCTAGTGAGGAGTAGCTGCAACAAGGATTGTTGAATAGGAGAAAAAGGGCTGGCCTGGTGGGTGGGTAGGATGCAAAGTTGAGGTGGACTTATGGGGGGGGCATTGATTGGGACAGAGAAGCTGCTAGAGAGGGCGGCCTTGGCCTCATTTATGAGGGGCTGTAGAGCAAGGTCTACCCCAAAGGCCAGCCTAATCATCTCTTGGTCGCCATAATCCTTCAACATAAGGTACTCAATTATTTGAGGATCCAACTCCGGCTTGATCCTCTGGATTCTGCTCATAATAATCTTTGTAACCTTGGAAAGTTTCATCTCACAACCCTTCTCCTTCTGAAATCAGCTGAAAATTTGTACATGCAACAAAAGAGAGAGAGAGAGAGAGGACCACCAGCAAAGGTGACAACTCCACCAAGGAAAAACAAAGAACGAGAGGACTCACATAGAAGGACTGCATTCCTCATGAAAATAAGTTGTTGCAAAATTTGCTAGATAGAGAAAATAAGAGAGAGAGAAAGAAACAACCACAAGAACTAAAAGAGGCAAGAATTACTAATAAGTCTTTATTAGCATGAATTAATAATTAATTAATTAATATTTTAAGTCTTAACTCATGATATATAAATTTATATTTATGTTAAATTGTGAAAAGTGATTTTCAATTGATTAATGTGGATTTTTGGCTAATTATATGAATTTATGTGAATTTATGTAAATTTTATAATCATATTTTTGAGATAAATACAGATAAATAAAATAAAATATATAAAAAAGAGAGACTTGTCTAGCCTAGAAGTGGGTCAGAAGTACAGTCCAGTAGAGTTGTGAGTGGTGAGCTCAAGCAATTAAGAGTTGTTAGGCATGTGTGCATTACTTTCTTTTCACGTCACCAATGACTAGTTAAATATGGGGGAATGAGTGGTCGTACACATGTGTGTGAGAGAGTTTTTCAACACAAAAAGTTGTATTACTATATATTTGTCTCAAACATCAGAAAATAGCTAATGTGGGACTAAATTTGGCCACCGTTCGTCATCACTTGTTTTTAATATTTATATACCTATAATACCCCTAAATGATGAGAAGAAGATATACTTATAGCATCATTAGATAAATGTATTAACGTACTTAGGTCACTCTCTCTCATGTAGATAGACAACCTACCTCATTGATTTTTAAACTTTGTAAAAAAAATTAGAAATTATCCACGTCATCCATGTCCAATGAGAGCTTTTGAAGTCATAAATATTATACAATAGTCTCCTCGAATGCTCAAGACTCTAACATATTACTACCATGATGCCAAAACTTTATTTTATCATTTTTAACTAATTTAAATTTTTTAGACTTCAAAAGAAGATCTAGAGAATGTACTGATTGTTCATATCCAAAGAGAATCTTTGGGGTCATAAACATTACATAATAATCATCTTGAATGCCTAAAATTCTAATGCTTTATTATGTATTACATGTTTTAAACTAATTTAATCTTTAGATTAATAAAATGTTACTTTATTTCAAGTTTCAAAACTTATTTTAGTCAATTATATTTTTTTTGACATTTATAGATCTCAATTTTATTAATTAAATCATCTATAATCACTAAGTAAACTTTGTTTTTGTATGAATCATATTTCTCAGGTCATCGATGTACTTCACTCTTATTTACTTTTTTTATAATTTTTTAAATATAGTTTATATTCATCATTTTGTCTAAAAATCATATAAAATCGTATTATTTGAGAAAATTTCTAAAATGTTACCATATATTATCTTACATCCTTGTAATCAACTTCGAATTTTTTTTATTTTTGAAACCTTTTATTAAATTATAATTAATTGATTATTATAAAATATATTTAAAATTTTCAAATTTGATATTTTCTAACTTTATAAATTTTAAATTTACGTGATTTATTATACAATAATTAATTCATATCAATTACTCTCTCTCTCTCTCTTTACCACTAATGATAAAAGGTTTACCACTAATGATAGTAAGGAAAACTCTCTCTCTCTCTCTCTCTTTACTCTCAACTCAACTTTCAATATTGCCCTTCTCCATTGTCATTTAAAGCAAAACTCAAAACCCCAGCACCTCCTCTAATTATGATGCGGAAGAAAAAAGGATGAAACTCACATTATGAAAATATTAACAAAAATACAAAAAAGCCACCTACTAGAAGAAAAACACATAAACCTTAATTAATCATAGAGAAGAAGCAGAGCACGTAGATGAAAAAAAAATTAAAATAGAAAAACTATCTAAGGGACCAAGAAAGAAAAGAAAAGCAAGAAAATACCGCAACCTCCAGCAACCTCGACCCCGAAAATCGAGGAAACCGAAGAATACCACGTGAAAACAATTAGAAACCGGTGAAATCAGAGAGACCCTCCTCCAGGATAGTCGCGGCCCCCCCTCCATCGGATCTTTGGAGCCACTCCCATGACGACTGCGCGAGAAACCAGAAGGGGGGGTTGGGCGGCTTATTTCTCCGCAACGGCCACAACTCCCGGGAGGTCGGCGTGGCTACTGACACGTGGCGGGCCCTCCTTTCTCCAGCGCGGCTGGCGACGTCCGTACAAAATAGATGGTCGGGAATAGATATTTGCGTCATTTCCTATTACCCACTTGGGGATTCGGCGGCTGGATGACCGCGTCTATCGGCGCTGCTGGTTCGATCCCCGGCACGTGGTCGTACAATGTCTCTTAGAACCGGAAGGCCCGGTTTCCCCGAACTGGTGACTCGGGAAAACGGCGGCCCTCGAGGAGATCGGGAATTACGCGGTGACGGAGAATAACAAGCGGACAGGAGGAAGCCTAGTGTTCGTCCGCGTGGTCAGCGGCAGGCAGCAGGTGGTGGCGGGGATGAACTTAGTAGGACCCAGCCTGAACAGTGGCGAGTAATGATGGAGAAGAGAGAGTGTGAGAGGAAGGGAGGGGTGAACGGTTCTCGTGCCTGCGAGGTGAGAGAAACAACTGAATATTATGTGTGAAACTCAAACAGCTAGAGTACCAGATGACGAAGAATGACGCTAGAACAACCGGCCTCACTCGTGGCTTAAGACGAAGAGAGGGAGAGAGACTCGACTATTAGACTCTCCAAGTCTCGATGAACAGAAGCTACACTGACCCGACTGAAACCAAGGGAGAGAGAACACAGTGCTTGGAGAGAGAAAGAAAGAGACTATCGTTCGGGAGTAACGACTAGATTCCCTACTTCGACTGATCTGTTGGGAAGAAAACCTAGGCGAGAAACAGGCTATCTCGTCTTCGTCTTCTCGTTCTTGCACCGTTCTCTGTGTAGATGGCGCTGCTTTTTTGTTCCTAAGTTTCCTTCCTTGCTCCCTCTGTGATCTCACCGTGAGGAGATCGGGGCTTTTGTCCTCCCCCAACTCTACCCTACGCATTCCAGCTTTCACTGCCCTCCTCCGCCAGAACAGCCGAGGAAGAAATCATCAAGCTGATCTACTATGCCTGAATTATAGTTACCGACATCATAAAATACCTGAAATAGCCTTGAAATCGGTGGTGAAATCGTTAACGAAGACTATTATTACATCAAATCTTTATAAATTCCATGCAATCATAGTGGGTTCGAGAAAGGAATTTGTTGCTGAAAAGTTATTAAAAAAAAAGGGGAAAATAGATCGTAGGTGGTATGCATGAAATGAACCCCACAGTTTCTTGCAATGATATTAGCGATGCTCAGCACCCAAAAGTCGGATGTTAGGCAATGGAATCCTTATATTTGTTCTTCCCTTGTACTCTTTACTATTTACCTGGAGAATTATGAAGCGAATAATTCGTTCACCTCTTTACGCTCTTGCAACCTTCTTAAAACTAAGAGCAAGGGGTACATTGTTACGATATTTAGTAAAAAAAAAATAGTTGACAGCCCAAAACATCATGACCCATCATTAACAGGTGAACAGAAAAATTGAGAAAAAATATCACTTTTACTATCTTCTTCATTGTAACACTTATTAGAGACATTTAACCATACAGAGTTTCTTCATTATCACATCAAATCTAGAATGACAAACCAGCCAAAAGTGTTCAGCAATGGGTCGTCAAAAGCGTGTGATTATGAAAAGGAGCTCATTACTTTGGTCATTAACATATTATAATATTCATTTTTTGTATTTTATCATTCACATCCTCTGAATATTTAAGGAAAGTGGAACCCTTGTGCAGAACTCTACTGCTGACCTTCCATGATGAAAGGATAATTATTCAGGTGGTAGGGGTCAACCACTATGGGCTGTATGAACCAGAAGCCCAGGCAAGATTGCTCGATAAGGCAGGATAGAGAATAATGGAAGAGTGTGGGGGAGGGGGGGGAGTTGACTTCCCGTCATTGGTGGCATCTCACTATGGGCTGCATTATCAAGAAGTCGACGCAAGATATATTATACTTTAGGGATATATGCAGATGTTGACCAGGCTAGATGATGCAAAAACCACAACAATTATTTGGTGTAGTGCTGACCGGCCGCCAGCTTCTACAAAATCAGCATTTAGAGCTCAACATGATTCCCAAGATAGGAAGCGAATCGATGATTCCAGGATGCATTGGCTGCGTTCAGAAAATGACTTTCCAGACAATATTTTTCATGGTATTTTCAGGGATGACAAAAGCAGGCTCCACCATACTTCATTAAACTTGACATTTATACCTTTATGAGCTCAAGAAAACAAGAATCTGAGAGCGCTCCAACAACTGCCCCTTTAGAACTATTGATTTCTGAAAAAAAACAACGATGTGTCTAACAGAAAACAGAAGGGCACAACCTCCATCCAATCTACACTCTTTAAAATTTTATACAACCCCACAAACTAATGAGGACACACCAGTACCATCCATGAAAAAACAAACGGAGAGACTAGGAACATGGGGGGAACACCTGGAGAGAATACCTGGAGAGAATGGAAGGGCGAGATCCCCACGGCGCCGGCGTACCAGTAGCCGGACGGGACGCGACTAAACCCACGGGCGAGCGGCTCTCAGCAATAGGCGTCGATGGAGAATCCGGCGCCTCCTTCCCCTGACTGGTGCCCCTCCGATGCGGACAATGGGATTTCTTCGTCGCAGGTGTGAACATAGTTCCGCCGCGCGAGCACAGAGTAGGGTTCTTCTCCTCCTCTCTAAACTTGCAGCTATCAGTACTCCCTCGAGCATCAGCCTTCACCGCCTTCTCTCTCTCTCTCTCTCTCTCTCTCTCTCTCTTTACGTAGGGATTTGCAGTAGACTGGGGAGCGAGGGAGACTGAAGACGAATTTGAACTCGGAGAACGCGCGCGTCATCGACTCGTTCACCGACTCGGCACTCTGCGGGTCATGTTTGGCCCAATACTAAATATGGGACTGGCCCACTAAACAAACTCCATCAGAGCTTAATCTCGGTCCATTATTGCCATTTACTTTTCCTATGTAATAATAGAACGGGCCCGGACTGGCCAATCCAAATATATTCCAAAAGCAAGCCTCAAAATTAAGCCTGAAGATTCCTACTTTAATCTTAATATTTTCTTAATTTAGTGATAATTTTTGTTATTTCAAATTTCTAAAACCTTCTCTATTTAATTACAATTTTTTTAGCTTTTATAGATCTTAATTTGATAAATCAAATAATTTGTGATCACTTACAAAAGAAACATTGGGAGGAACTCTATTTCTATGTGATTTGCATTCGTTGGGGGCGTTGATGCCATCTTGATGTCCACACTCAAATTTCTCTTTTCTATGAATTTTAAAATATATTTTATCTTCATCATTTAGTTTAAAAATTATAAAAAATCTTATTCTTTGTATAAAATTATGAAATATTATCAGATATTATATTATATCCTTAGTTGACTATTTTTTAAATATATATTATTAAATTATAAATATTTTTTTAAAATATTTTTTTAAAATATTTTTTTAAAATATTTTTTTAAAATATTTTTTTAAAATATTAAAATTAATATTTTTTAGTTTTATAAATTTTAAATTTATGTGACTTATTATAAAAATATTATATCATGTCAAATTTTGATATTATTGTCGAGGATGCATACTAGATGCGATGAAAAACTTTTTCTTGCTACATGGATATGAGAATGAAGTTTCTTAAAATGCATTTTACCTTCATCTAACTCATTTTTGTGGGTGACAATCATTGGAGATCTAAAAGTCATTTTTTCACTTAGTCAAGTAATAGTTGCCAAAGACTATTCTTCAATCCTCCTCACTCATTTATAAACTTTGTAAGAAGATTTAGAGATCACTCACATCTTTTTTGTCTAAAGAGAACTTTTGAAGCCATACACATTACATAATATTCCTCCAAAACATATAATTCTGACGATTATTATCACAAAATTAGAATTTTACCTTTCCTATTTTAAACTTAATATTTCTCAATTTAGTGATCTTTTTTGTTATTTCAAGTCTCTAAAACCTTCTCTATTCAATTACAAAATTTTTAGCTTTTATAAATCTTAATTTGATAAATTAAATTATCTATAATTATTGACGTAAGAATCATTAGGAGGAACTCTATTTTTTGTGTGATTTGCATTCTTTGAGGGCGTTGATGTCACCTTGATGTCCACACCCAAATTTCTCTTTTGTATGAATTTTAAAATATATTTTACCTTCATCATTTAATTTAAAAATCATAAAAAGTCTTATTCTTTATAAAAAATTGTGAAATATTATCAAATATTATATTACATCCTATAGTTGACTAAGAAAATTTCCACTTTTAAAAAAATATTTTATCAAATTATAATTAATTTATTTTTTCTAAAATATTTTTTTAAATCATAAAATTAATATTTTCTAATTTTATAAATTTTAAATTTACGTGACTTATTATACAAAGATTAGATCATGTCAAATTTTGGTGCCATTGTCGAGCATGTATTACATAATATTTTGTATTTCTTTATTTTTCTCTAAAAATGCAAAAAAATGATTTAGTTCTTATTTTTATTTTCTTCTTGTAGAAAAAAAAAGAATAAAGAACAACAAGACAAACACTGAATTAGACTAAAAGAGGAAAACACTTATTTAAAAAAAATCTCAAATTTATATATTTTTATGCATGGTAGAAGATCCTTACATCCAAGACTAGAAAATAATTCTACTTTTTTCTTGTCCAAGGCTTGTTTTCTTATGTTCTCAAAGGCTTCCACATCTTTGCTATTAGCCAGGTCATATAACAAGTTTCTTGCTTGATGTATATACCTAGTTCATTTGAGACATGATTCTTCTTTTAGCCAAAGGAAAATTTCAGTTTTTAGAATTTTTATCTGCTGAATTATTGGTTTTAAAGATGTTTGAAAGGATGTCACTATATCAGATAAATACTTTCTCGTGTGAAATGTTATGTGATTAATTTTCAATCAAGTATGCATACATGTTGAGTAAATCCTTCCAATTTCAATTTTCTTCATCGTGTATAACATTTATCTGATTGACAAATTAAAGTGAATGCATGGCAATAAATGTAGAAAATAAGATACACTGAAGGCCGTCTTAAACAAATAGCATGCGGGATTTATTCAATCCTAGAAGTATGTAGGATTTATTCAGTCTTTAGCTTGATACATGGAATAAGCTGTCTTAATTTTGCAAGCCTTAAAAGCCCTATCTTGCAGATGGGCTAATGCTTGCAAATGAATTGGGAGGAAGAATAGCCATTGTATCTGTAGTAGTATAATCTGGGAAGTCCCCAGATGATTCAACTACTAGACAGTCCTTTAATTGGACAACCACAGTGCTTATAGTTGGTCTATCGCCAGAGTTGGGTGATGTGCATGACAGTGCGATCTCTATTACCTTCCATATGGAATTAACGTCGTAGTCACCACACATTCTTTGATCTGCAATATCGGCTACATCTCCTCTTTCCAATCTGGACTGCACGTACTGAGTTATGTGAGTTCTCTTGGAATCGTTAGCAATTGGTGGTTTTCCTGTTACAAGCTCTAGTAGTACGATCCCGAAGCTGTAAACATCACTTGTCTCATTCAACCTACTTGTTTTGTAATACCTGCACAGAAAGAATACGAAAAATTGAGAAAATGCTCAAGATGAGGCTATTCCTTTGCCTCTATGAACAAAAGATGAATTTTCTATGACGTACTCAGGATCAAGGTATCCAGGAGTTCCTGCAATTAAAGTTGATATGTGAGTAGCCTCTTCATTTGTGAAAGACCTGGACAACCCAAAATCCGCTAGTTTGACTTCAAAGTTGTTGGTTAAGAGGATATTTGAAGGCTTGACGTCTCTGTGAACAATGGGTGGCTTGCAACCACAGTGCAGATAATCAAGTCCTGGAAATTAAAATATGACCATCATATATCATTACAAGAATAAAACATAAGAAATGGTAAGAGGAAGAAAGATCAATGATGTATGAAGAACGGACCTTGTGCGGCTTCAAGTGCTATGCGGAGTCGTGCTCTCCAACTTAAGATATTAATATTGGCAGAGTCACCTGTGTATGATTGATTGACATATGAGAACTTGAGAGGCGTACAAAATAAAGAAGGTTCAGTGAGAAACATGGCATTTTTCTCATATGTAAAGAGTGTTTCGTGTAGGAGAACCTGAGAGGTGATCTGCAAGGGAACCCTGAGGCACGAATTCATAGAGCAGTGCTAGGTTATCCTTACAATATCCTAACAATGATACTAGATATTTATGGTGTACTCTCCTCAAGAGTTGAGCCTGAAATTCCAAGATACATGTCATTTTTATGCATACAAACAAATAAGCACTGGGCCTTGCCTCAGTTCTAAGTAGAATATAATTTATCTACAATTGGGATTTCGTTTTCAGTCACTATGAGTTACCTCAGCTCTAAACTCCTTCGCTCCCTGTGTTGATGATGTAGAAAGTACTTTCACTGCAACTTCAGTTTCATCTTTTAAACGACCATAGTAGACAGTTCCAAAACCTCCTCTTCCAATTGGTCGGTCAAAATTATTTGTGATATTTACTACATCAGATGTTGAAAATTGGTCACTTTCAGAAAGCAGCCTATTTTCATTCCCCACTAACTGGCGGTTACCATCCCCTCCTCGTTGCTCCCTGTATAATTCTACTGCAATAAAATATAATGTTAAGATAACAGTATGATTGGGCTTCAAACAAGTGTTGATGTAGACTTGATGAAGTTAAAAAGTAACAGAAGTTATAGATATATACCTTGTGTAGGGTTTTGTGTTTTCTCCGCTCTTCTTCTTTTCCGGATACATATTATGGTGACGATCAGAAGTAGTAGAAAGGAGGCGGAAATAGCTATTGCAATGGGAATGATAATCTTTTTCTTCTTTGTTGTTGTTGTTGATTCACAGAGACTCACTGTGCTGCATAGAATTGGATTGTTTTTGATCCTAAAATTATAACATCATAGGTGTCAGAATAGGGTAAATATATCATCCATTCCTGAACTTACTGTTTATCCAAGCTTTACAGAACGATTAGGCAAAGTTAAATAATGATCAAGTGTTTAGTGAGAGGTTATTATTTTCCTTTCTACTAGATGCATGTGACACAGTCATGTTTGATGCTCTAATTCTAACCAGGCGCCTGTTTTTTTTTCCAGCTATGGGGAAAAGTCAGTAATTAATGCTTTGGATATTTGTAAGGATCATATTTCGGAAAATAAAAATAATTGGGATAATACACAGTATCGGTCTTATCTTGACTAATTTTATGAAATGAACGCATAGAAAGCTAGTTAGAAGAAACAATCTTGGCAAGTGCTTCTGTACTATCAATGTTTGAATTTTTTCTATCATCTACATTAAGGCTTTGCATCAATGAATTTTCTCATATCTTTTGTGTGGCTTGGTGGATAAGAAACTTGGAGTTTGGAGCAACACAACAATGGGACATAATCAAGGTTTATAGATTTTTTCAGATTTTATTTTATTTTTACCCTTGTTAGCATAACTTTATGTTTGAAATTTCTTATACAGAATCATATTATCCACTGATTATGGATGCAAAGCTAACCTTAATTGTAGTGATCCATCTTGCGATCTTTCGTAAAGAGTTTTCGGAATAGTTCCGTTCAAATTATTGCTTTCCAAGTTCCTGCAAACAGAGAATAGTTAACCATCAGATACTCCCTTTATGAAGAACAAAACTGGAGAGATCAAAGTTTCAAAACTTACAGGATTTTGAGCGCTGATAGATTCTCTATGTAAGCAGGTATTTCACCTGTAAAGTTGTTATACGATAAATCCCTGAAAGGAGTAGAGGAGTGTAAGGTGTAAAATTATTCACTTTCTTGCTTGGAATGTATTAGCTTTGAGAGAAACCTTTCATTCTTGCTACATCAGAGAAACACAAACTCCTATTTGCCATGAAAAAAGGAGGCATGGATTTTCTTTAGATTGCCGTTTTTTTATGCTCTATAGAATATTGGTGAAAACAGGACGAGGAAAGCACATTCAAGAATTTTAAATGAACTTACAAGGATTCTAAGTTTGTGAGGTTGGCTATAAAAGGAGGGATTCCGCCGCCCAATTCGCTGTGAGACAGGTTTCTGCAAGCCAAGATAATTTCATTCTTCGATGCCATATAATTTCAAGCCTGGTTGCTTAGAAAAGAAATTTAGTTGATCATACTGTCAGAACTCACAACGAGGTTATCCTCCAGTAATTAGAGGCATTGGCGCTGCATTCCAGGCCTTCCCAGGTGAAGTTTTGTGGAACACACGGATCGCCATCCCAGTTCCTTTTAACTTTATACAAGTTCTTGAGCTTTGAAATGGCCTCCACTGTCATCCATGTGGGTGAGCAAGAGTAAGAATGCAGAACAGCTACAGTCTTGACAAAGATAATGCGTGAAGAATAATTTACGCCCATTACACCCATTTTCATGTATGATCGATGAAAAGAAGAAAGTAATAATTCTGCATTTCAGTACTAGACTGGGTTTCTGATCCCCTAGGTTATTCCTCTTGTGGGGTGATATCACGACCAGAGTGTATCAGAATTTATGATGAATCTCATGAATGAGACTTCGATCTATGGAAGCTTGAAGATAACTGTTTGTGTTAAAGATATTCCAGAGGGAAGAAGCCAGAGGGTGTCACCTTCGTCCTCGTCGGTCGGCTTCAAGGTTAGCTCTCTCATGGCGAACGTCTCGAGAGCGTTGATTATGGGGGGCAGAGTGGAGTTGGCCGTGGCCCGGAGGGAGTAGGTCAGTCCCCCCGGCTGGCCCGGCGGACGCGTGTAGGTAACCAGCGTCTTCAGGAAGTTTGGTCTTACCGGGCCGTAGAACGGACTGTCGCCCTGATAGATTTTGAATTCCCTGGTCTCGTTGCCCCCCAGCTGCTGGAGCTCCGCGAAGTACATGACCAGGTGGGTGTGATCCTCTGGGCTCCCGGGAATGGTGATGTTTAAGCTCTCCGAGAGGGACGCCGCCGTCGCCGCCGTCTTCAGGACTGCCTGTGGCACAGGAAACCCATCCACTGGATCCACTATGGCGACAGTGCTTATATTTCTGCCTAGTGGCACGGGGAACCACACGCGGTCGTAAGGGTCGGCCGGGTACCTGTACGAGAGTTTTTTAGAGAGAAGAGGAAGAGAGATGGGTAGAGATAGACCGGCTAGGGAGAGAGAGAGGACTTGATCTGGCCTTCGCCTCCGTAGTTACTCCGACCATCGAGCATGACGATAGAATGGGACGAGTTGACCAGGGTGTACGTGGAATTGGGAAGGGGCCGCAGCTCGAGCGCGGATATGAAGGGCGTCCCATTTCCCGTGTTCACCAGGCAGACCTGCATACTCTCGGCGGCGGCGACAGCAATGATCTCCGTCCGACTGAAGTCGCCCGTTGTTAGAGTCACCCACAGGTTGACGCCGAGGTACAGGTCGAACGTCGGCGGCCGACCCAGACCGTCGTAGTTCCCGTACAAGAACTCCGCGTTCACCCGATACTTGGCGCCCCGCACCAGCGGCCGCAGCGTGTAGCAGTTTCGAGTCCCATCAGGAAAACTCCGGACGTTGGCATAGTAGCGCCTGATGGACGTCAGATCGGTGCTAGGAGAGACCTTACTGTTCACTCCGGCGCTGGTGTAGGGCTCGTCCGGCGAGTAGGGGATCTGAGTAACCTGGTCTATGTAGCCAGAGTCGTCGTCGAGGCCACAGTCTATGCTGATGAATCCTGCAACAGAGATGGAAGAGGATTCTTGCAGTTCCGCTCTGGAAGATGACAGAGTGTGGCGGAGGTTTTGTCGTACCAGCGGGGTTCTGCGCTGAGACTGCCATGGCCAGGACGGCCAGCAGCAGCGCGAGGAGCGACATTGCCGCCATGTTCGGAGTCCTTCCTTCTCCTTCCTTCGATTGGCCGGACGACGCCACAGGCGTCGGAGCGTCGGGTTCTTATAGATCGTAGTCTCTCCGGCGAGCAGCGACGCACTGGTTGAAGTGCAATTATTCTGAGGGGCTGGTGGCGTCTATCTCCGTCGTTGCCGCGAACCCGCAACTCCCTGCAGGTCATGTGAAAGCGGACTTTGGATAGTCAAACCCTCCGGGGCAGTTGAGACATTCGAACGTGCTCCGATGCCTACGCGCTAGATACTTGTTTGGGCAACAGGATTGAAAGGTCGTCGCTCTATCGGGGGCTAAGGATCTGGAACTAAGACAGTTTTGCGGCATCGTACAGCCTGGGTTACATGAGCGGCGGCAGGGTTTCACAATGATTGGTCAAAAAAGTCAACCCCTTATTGTAAAAACTAGCACGGTCTACTTAAATCTTCTCGTCGGTTCATCAAGCATAGGATCGGGAGTGGACAGAGTTCCCTTGTAATAACAATTTCATCGGGAAATGGGTCGAATTATTTCTCGAGATATCGGAAATTGTCTCATTTTACGATTTTGCGTGGTATTATTCGTCCGATATTTTCATTCAACATCGATGAACTAAATATGGAAGGTTCACCTACCGCAAATCCACCTACCGACATGTTCTTCAATGTTCTATATCAGAATTTTAATATTTTATTTTATCAAATGAAATTCACAGTCAACGATTTGGAAGTCAGCTCAGGCAGATCAGACCGACCCGGCCCATTTGACTTTTCTTTCTTCCTATCCTAATAGTGGACTCCGAATGCCGGAGTTATGTCCTCCACCCTCCTCCCTCCTCCCCCGTTGCCGCCCCGTCTCCTCTCGCTCACGCTATGTTCATATATTTATGGATTTCCCCGCCCACCTTCCCTCCTCTCTCGACGTTCCTCACGGCGGCCAACTAAGAATATACAGCGGGCTTTCTGCTCTCCGGGTATTCCTTCTTCCGGACGGGATGGAGGTCGTACATTCAGATTCGTACAAGTCAGCGTCCATCGTAGTCCGCATACATGACCAACTGCCACATACATGACCACAAGTAGTCCCAAGACAGCTGAATGATAATCACGCAACGCAAATCTAAGAAACAATGGAAAGGAGAGCCGGAGGAGAAGAACGCGCCATGATCATACGGGGGTGGTGGCAGAAGAGCGGAGTCAGGAGCCCAGATCCACTCACCTCCGCCGGTCTGCTCGCTGTCAGGTCCGCGAAGCTGCCCTCCTTCCCCGTGGCATTCGTGGTATCCGCCTGCTCCGGGTCATCACCCCGCGTTGATGAGGGGCAGAGGAGAAGGAGAAGAGGACGGATAGCAGGAGCAGGAATGAGACAGCTCCTCATCGCAGGAGGAGCCCGGTGGAAGAAAACCAGCGAACACCAGGAGAAAGAGTCTGCAGGCCGTGGTTGAAGTAATGATCTCTCCCTGAGTTACTGGAAACCTGCTGACCGGGGTCATATCTGAGAGAGAGAGAGACAGCGACTGAGAACGATAGAGATAGAGAGCGATAGAGAGCGAGAGGGGAGAGAGAGAGAGAAAGCGATAGAGAGCGACAGGGAGAGAGAGTGAGAGAGAGAAAGAAAGCGATAGAGAGCGACAGGGAGAGAGAGTGTTAGAGAGAAAGAAAGCGATAGAGAGCGACAGGGAGAGAGAGAGAGAGCGACAGAGAGCGATAGACAGCGACAGGGAGAGAGAGAGAGAGAGCGGGTTGACTCTGAGTTAGAGGTTTCTAAAGTGGGAGTGTTTTTGTGTTTTCTCCAAAGTTAAAACATAGCTTACAAAAATTACCTTAATAGTAAAATATTATTTTATGCCTTCACAGCTGAAAATCCTCCGTTCCAAATTTATTATTCCACCGAATTTTTTTATTGATGACAACCAAAACCTCTAAGACGCTCCTCTTTAGAAAAATTGTACAGAGATAGTAAATTAGTGTTCCCTCGGGACCAAATTAAAGGAAAAATTGGTTCAATTTTTATATTTAATTTAAAGGCTTTTGTCTCTCATCATTTGTTTTTTTCTGTTAAATAGCTAATATTGTTTATTTTTTCATATCCAACCAATGATATGGAAAACGTTGAATAAAATAAAAATAGAAATGGGCCTTGCCTTGAACTGTCCATTTTTTAGGGCCCAAATAAAGCGTAGAAAAATAAAAAACAGACCCACCAATTTACCATTTTGAACTTTTTTCAAAATAAATATATTTTAAATAATAATATATTTTTTATAGTTGGTATTAGCTTAGTCTTTAGTTATGATTATGATTCCAATTTTGTGCTTAGTGAATTCGAAACCACTAGGTCTACACGTGCAGATGTGTAGCCCCACTTGATTAAAACATGTTTTAACGACTCTATATAATATATTTAAACATATTAAAATAATATATTTAAGGCCCCTACTCTCCCCCGCCCAAGTCTTCAGGCCCGAACTTAATTTTGAGCCGGACCGTCTGGGACAAACAAACTGGCCATGTTTATGTGGCTTGACTTTATAAGGCCCGAAACCCCTCTCGGCCCGACCCGTTGAGACAAGATAATGTGGGCCGTCAAAGATGCCATCTTTAAATATCGGAAATGCCTACCCGTCAGTCCCTTCTGTCCCCCTCTCTTCTTCTCTGCCCCCTCTCTCCCCCTTCTCTCTTCTTCTCTGCCCCCTCTCTCCCCCTTCTCTCTTCTCCTCGCTGCCGGCTTCTTCTCCCTCTGAAGCGGCACGTTTTGCAGTCTTCCTCCTTTCTCTTTCTCCAGCTGCGGATCTCCCTCATCAGCGCGCCCTTTATCACTTCTCGTCTACTACAGTCCGTCCCCCCTTTCTCTCTGGCCAAGGGCCGCAACCTTCCTTCCTCTGTTCTGTGACAGCGTGACTGGCCGCCTCCACCGTCCTCTAATCGGGGTCCACGCTTGTCGACTGCTCCATACGCCGCCTCGTCCCGCTAGTCTAAGGAACAACGGTGTGAAAGCCCGGAAGGGGACGCCAGATCTGTGAGCAGAGGTCACAAGAAAAACATTTGGTGTCCACGTCTAGAGGTGATGCACCTCTACCAGTCTTTTGGCTTGGGCTCGATTTTTCATGTTCTCGAAGGCTTCCACATCATTGCTATTAGCCAGGTTACATAACAAGTTTCCTGCTTTATCTTTATATTTACTTAATTCATCTGATAAGTGATTCTTCCTCCAGCCAAGGGAAAAATCAGTTTTCAGGGCTTTATCTGCTGAATTTTCGGTTTTGATGATGTTTCAAGGGATCAAAATATCGCAGATTAAAACATTCTTGTGTGAAACGTTATGCGATTAATTTTCAATCAAGTATGCATACATGTTGAGTAAATCCTTCCGATTTCAATTTTCTTCATCGTGTATAACATTTATCTGATTGACAAATTAAAGTGGATGCATGGCAATAAATGCTCTAAATAACATACGATGATCGCTGTCTTAAACAAATTGGATGCGGGATTTACTTAACCCTGGAAGCATGTAGGATCGATTCAGTCTTTAGTTTCATACATGGAATAACCTGTCTTAAATTTTACACGCCTTAAAAACCCTATCGTACAGATGGGCTGATACTTGCAAATGAATTGGGAGGAAGAATAGCCATTGTATCTGTAGTAATATAATCTAGGAAGTCCCCAGATGATTCAACTACTAGACAGTCCTTTAATTGGACAACCACAGTGCTTATAGTTGGTCTATCGCCAGAGTTGGGTGATGTGCATGACAGTGCGATCTCTATTACCTTCCATATGGAATTAACATCGTAGTCACCACACATTCTTTGATCTGCAATATCGGCTACATCTCCTCTTTCCAATCTGGACTGCACGTACTGAGTTATGTGAGTTCTCTTGGAATCGTTAGCAATTGGTGGTTTTCCTGTTACAAGCTCTAGTAGTACGATCCCGAAGCTGTAAACATCACTTGTCTCATTCAACCTACTTGTTTTGTAATACCTGCACAGAAAGAATACGAAAAATTGAGAAAATGCTCAAGATGAGGCTATTCCTTTGCCTCTATGAACAAAAGATGAATTTTCTATGACTTACTCAGGATCAAGGTATCCAGGAGTTCCTGCAATTAAAGTTGATATGTGAGTAGCCTCTTCATCGGTGAAAGACCTGGACAACCCAAAATCCGCTAGTTTGACTTCAAAGTTGTTGGTTAAGAGGATATTTGAAGGCTTGACGTCTCTGTGAACAATGGGTGGCTTGCAACCACAGTGCAGATAATCAAGTCCTGGAAATTAAAATATGACCATCATATATCATTACAAGAATAAAACATAAGAAATAGTAAGAGGAAGAAAGATCAATGATGTATGAAGAATGGACCTTGTGCGGCTTCAAGTGCTATGCGGAGTCGTGCTCTCCAACTTAAGATATTAATATTGGCAGAGTCACCTGTGTATGATTGATTGACATATGAGAACTTGAGAGGCGTACAAAAGAAAGAAGGTTCAGTGAGAAACATGGCATTTTTCTCATATGTGATTGGTGTTTTGTGTAAGAAGAACCTGAGAGATGATCCGCAAGGGAACCCTGAGGCACGAATTCATAGACCAGTGCTAGGTTATTGTTACAATATCCTAGCAATGATACCAGATATCTATGGTGTACTCTCCTCAAGAGTTGAGCCTGAAATTCCAAGATACATGTCATTTTTATGCATACAAACAAATAAGCACTGGGCCTTGCCTCAGTTCTAAGTAGAATATAATTTATCTACAATTGGGATTTCGTTTTCAGTCACTATGAGTTACCTCAGCTCTAAACTCCTTCGCTCCCTGTGTTGATGATGTAGAAAGTACTTTCACCGCAACTTCAGTTTCATCTTTTAAACGACCATAGTAGACAGTTCCAAAACCTCCTCTTCCAATTGGTCGGTCAAAATTATTTGTGATATTTACTATATCAGATGTTGAAAATTGGTCACTTTCAGAAAGCAGCCTATTTTCCTTCCCCACTAACTGGCGGTTACCATCCCCTCCTCGTTGCTCCCTGTATAATTCTACTGCAATAAAATATAATGTTAAGATAACAGTGTGATTGGGCTTCCAACAAGTGTTGATGTAGACTTGATGAAGTTAAAAAGTAACAGAAGTTATAGATATATACCTTGTGTAGGGTTTTGTGTTTTCTCCGTTCTTCTTCTTTTCCGGATACATATTATGGTGACGATCAGAAGTAGTAGAAAGGAGGTGGAAATAGCTATTGCAATGGGAATGATAATCTTTTTCTTCTTTGTTGTTGCTGTTGATTCACAGAGACTCACCGTGCTGCATAGAATTGGATTGTTGTTGATCCTAAAATTTTAACATCGTAAGTGTCAGAATAGGGTGAAGATACCATCCATACCCGAATTTACTGTTTGTCCAGATTGATTTATGCAAATTTAACTAAAGATTGAGAGTGCAGTGAGAGACTATTCTTTTTTTTTCTAGTTGATGTGTGTGACACAGTCATATTCGATGTTCTAATGCGAACCAGGCACCGGTTTTGTTTCAGTATGGGGAATACTTAATAATTAATGTTTTGCTTATTTGTAAGGACCATATTTTGGAAAATAAAAATAATTTTGATAATACCTGGTCGGTCCTGTCTCAAGGAATTTTTTGAAACGAAAGCATACAAAGCTAGCCAGAAGAAATAATATTTTCCTAGTGCTTCGGTACTAGCCATCTCTGAATTTTTTCTATCGTCCACCTAAGACTTTGTATCAACTATCTTTTGTGAGGCTTGGTGGATAAGAAACTTGGAGTTTGGAGCAACTCAATAGTGGGAAAAGATCAAGATTTATGGATTTTTTTAATGATATTTTCCCCCTTGTTAGCATGACTTTTTGTTTGAAATTACTAATACCGAGGCATATATCCAATGATCATGGATGCAGAGTTCACCTTAGCAGTAGTAGTGATCCATCTTGTGATCTTTTGTAAAGAGTTTTCGGAACAGTCCCATTCAAATTATTGCTTTCCAAGTTCCTGCAGAGAGGGAATATCTAACCATCCGATACTCCCTGGATGAAGAACCAAACTGGAGAGTTCAAAGTTTTAAAACTTACAGGATTTTGAGAGCTGGCAGTTCCTCCATGTAAGCAGGTATTTCACCTGTAAAGTTGTTATACGATAGATCCCTGAAAGGAGTAGACGAATATAAAGTGTAAAATTGTCTATTTTCTTGCTTGGAATGTATTAGCTTTGATAGCAACCTTTAACCCTCGTTACATCAGATTAGCACAAACTCTTATTTGCCTTGAAAAAAAGAAACTATATATAGTTGATCTGAAACATTTTTCATTTAAAAAGAGCCATGCGACTTCCTTAACTTGCCGTTTTTTCATGCTCCATAGAATATTGGTCAAACAGGATGGGGAAAGCACGCTCAGGATTTTGAAATGAACTCACAAGGATCTTAAGTTCGTGAACTTGGCTATAAAAGGAGGAATTCCACCGCTCAATCCGCTGTGAGACAGGTTTCTGCAAACCAAGATAATTTCATTCTTTGGTCCCATATTATTTCAAGCCTGGTGACTTAGGAAAAGAATTCAGTTGATCATACTGCCATAACTCACAAAGAAGTTATCCTCCAGTGATCAGAGGCATTGACGCTGCATTCCAGGCCCTCCCAGGTGAAGTTTTGTGGAACACACGGATCGCCCTCCCAGTTCCTCTTTACTTGATACAAGTCCTTGAGTTTTGAGACGGCCTCCACTGCCATCCAGGCGGGTGACCAAGAGTAAGTAAGAATGCAGAGATTTATATAGGTGAAGATTAATTTACTATGCATATTTTCATTCATGATCGATGAGAAAGAAGAAAGAATTGAGGATTATTCTACTTCCCTTGACTATTCCTCTCATGGTGGTATAATCAAAGTGTATCGACGAATCTCATGAATGATAACTGTTTGTGTTGAAGATGTTCCTGAGGGAAGAAGCCAGAGGGGCTCACCTTCGCCCTCGTCGGTCGGGATCAGGGTTAGCTGTCGCACTACGTACGTCTCGAGGGCGTTGATTATGGGAGGCAGAGTTGAGTTGGCCGTGGCCCGAAGGTAGTAGGTCTGCTGCCCTGGCGGGCCCGGCGGGATCGTGTAGATAAGGTGCGGATCCAGGGGGGGGCTGGGCCTTAACCGGCCGAAGAACAGCCTGCTGCCCACGTAGATGTCGAACTCCCTAATCTCATCGGCCCTCAGCTCCTGGAGCTCCTCGAAGTACATGACCAAGCAGCTGGTCGCATCGGGGATCCCGGGAATTGTGATGTTCAAACTCTCTGACAGAGACGCTGCCGTCACCGCCGTCTTCATGACGGCCTCCGGCGCCACAAAGCCATAGCCGTCCACCGGATTCACTGTGGCGTTAGTGCTTATCCTTCTGCCTAGTGTCACAGGGTGCCACAGGCGGTCGTAGGGGTCGGCCGGGTACCTGTACGAGAGTTTTTTAGAGAGAGGCAGATAGATAGGTAGAGATAGACGGCTAGCAAACTAGAGAGAGAGAGGACTTGATCTGGTCTTCCCCTCCGTAGTTTCTTCGAACCCCGAGGAAGACGATAGACTGGGACGAGTTGACCACGGTGTACATGGAATTTGGAAGGGGCCGCAGCTTGAGCGCGGATATGAAGGGCGTTCCATTTCCCGTGTTCACCAGGCAGACCTGCATGCCCTCGGTGGCGGCGAGAGCGATGATCTCCGCCCGATTGAAGTCGCCGGCTTCCATGGTCACCCACAGGTTGACGCCCAGGTATAAGTCGAACGTCGGTGGCCGACCCAGACCGTCGTAGTTCCCGTACAAGAACTCCGCGTTCACCCGATACTTGGCGCCCCGCACCAGCGGCCTCAGCGTGTAGCAGTTGCGAGCCCCGTTGGGAAAACTCCGGACGTTGGCGTAGTAGGACATGATCGACGTCAGATTGGTGCTAGGAGAGACCTTCCTGTTCACTCCGGCGCTGGTGTAGGGCTCGTCCGGCGAGTAGAGGATCTTTGTATCCTTGTCTGTGTAGCCAGAGTCGTCGTCGAGACCACAGTCGATGCTGATGAACCCTGCCACAGAGATGGAAGAGGAGTGTTGCAGTTCTGCTCTGGAAAACGGCGGAGGGCGGCGAAGGTTTTGTCGTACCAGCGGGGTTCTGCGCTGAGACTGCCATGGCCAGGACGGCCAGCACCAGCGCGAGGAACGACATCGCTGCCATGGTCGAAGCTCTTCCTCCTTCCCCCACTTCGTGGGACGAAGCCACAGGCGTCGGAGCGTCGGCTTCCGACAGATCTTACCCTCTACGGCGAGCAGAGGCGGCATGAGATGAATTGGGATTATACTGAGGGGCCAGTGGCACCTGTCTCCATCATTGACGTCCTGTGCTGCTCTACCGGTTAGTTGCCGGCAGTGGCAACTCTCTGCGTAGTAGGGAACTGAAACCCTCTCGGGGTGGTTGAGCTGTCCAATTTGCCCAAGTCAAACCCTCCAGGGGGAGGGGAGGCTCCGCCTGACATAGACTTTCATGCAAAGCCAAATAATGCTCCAAGAACGAAGCAAAATAGTTGACTTTGATGCCTCCGCGATGGATACTCGCTTGGGCCAAGGGTGCTGACAGGTCGTCGCTCTACGGATAAGGAATACATAAAGTTGAACGTATTAAAATAAGAAATGAAAGATTTCGTTGAAATTGTCCATTTGTAAATTTCCCAACAAGCCAATCTTCGGATCAGCGGTGAGAGATTTGGCACCAAATTTTTTGTGGCACTGAACATCCTGTGTAAGATGAGGGGCGGCAGCGTTTCACAATGTTGACATAAAAAATTCAACCATTTATCATGAAAACTAGCATGTTCTACAGTTAGCTAATGATCGATTCAGTAACTAAGGGATTGACTCTATTCATAACATATTTTATTTCAGCACCTGTAAAAGAAATTTCAAAAATCATTGCAAACCAATGTTCGGGCATTTTTTTCAATGTTTATACGACTTTTAGTCTTTTTATTTGATTAAACTGGATTCAAAGTTTGCGATTGGGAAATCGGCTTAGCCCGGGCAGATGGGTCCGGCCCGTTTTGGTTTGATCTTTGGTAATCTTTCCTTGTCCCCCTAACAATGGGCCCGAATGCTGGGGTTCTATCCTCCGACTCCTCTCCCATCTCCTCTCTCACGCTCTCTGTGCATGCCGCTGCCGACCTTCCCTCCTCTCAACGTTCCCCATGTCAGCCTCATCTTGAACCCAGAATTATAAACCTGTATGACGGTTCTGACAAGCTGTGACTAAGTAGGAATATACAATGTTCAGAGAATTGCTAAGTAGGAATTTTACACCTTTATGACCTCCTTCAGACTAAGTAGGAATATACATCGAGTTGGTATGGAAGTCCAAGACTTGTTCAGAGAATGAGGGTGTAGAAATACTATGTTCATATTCCAGATCTACTCACGAGGTGGATTCTTTCTGTTCTCCTGGGGTCCCTTCTTTCGGACGGAATCGAGGTTGTTTGATTAGCCAAATGCTCAGTTTGCATTTAGATTCCTAAAATCCATTATTCATCTTTCAGCATATCCAAGAGAAATCTCATTATCACTGCCACCTGCAAATAATACTAGTTGATTGAGAAGCCAAGATGAACACATAATAACAGAATGGAAACAAGCTTTGGATTATCATTAATCATAGGACATGTGGTGCTTATTCAATCTTGGTAGCAGGTAGAGGTTACTGAATCTTTGATTGAATTTATGGAATTGGGTCCCTTGATGCTTAACATAAGTAATATTCTTGTAGATGGCCTGATCCTTTGGTTTTTATATGGAGGGAAACTGTTCAATTCATTTGTATTGACATCCCTTGATATGGTTGTGGATTCTTCAATTAGAATGCACTCCTTTATTTTCAGAAGCATATTGCTCATTCTCGGTCTCTTATTAGATTCCAATGATGTATGTGACATTGCAACCTCTGCTGTTCTTCATAATGAATCCAGATAGTATTGCCCTTTCATTCTTTGGTCTGCAATATTAGTTATATCCTCTCCTTCCAAGGTTAATTGCACATGCTAGACAATGTGAATTTTCTTCTCCATGTTTGAGCCTCTTAGTGATTGATTTTCCACATGTTAAAAGTTATAGTGGTATGATTTTGAAGTTGTAAACATCACAATTCTTATTTGACCAATAAGTGAATTTACCGAGTTCTTGATGTTCCTTATAAAATTAAGACATTTGAATTAGAGATATTCTCTTACATCCCTATGATCGACTTAAAAGCTTTCTTATTTTTCTTATTTTATAAAATTTAAATTTATGTGATTTATTATACAATGATTATGTCGTGTCAATAAGTTAACACATGTGATGACGTCTCAAGTACAATCTAGAAATATTAAGTCACTTATGAGATTATAATAGACTTAAGTGATGTGACGACAAAAGTTTCAATGAAGAATCTATCTGAAATATGAAATAATATAAAGTTAGGTGTGAGATTCAAACTCAAGATGTAAGCTTTAAAAAGGCAGAAATTATCACATCCAAAATATTTGAATATCACTAATAGCAAAAGGTATTGATAGGATTTGAAATCAATAACTCAGTATTGACATGTTATAAAACTAATTAGGAAAAGACAAAGTAATATTAAATGATTAAGTATTCACATGAAGCTTTCACATAAGAAAATATGTATTTGCCATGTACCCTTGATTGTAACATGTTGGCATAATACATAGAGAAAATGACAAAGCAAATGAATTTATTTTGACTCAACCTCAGAAATAGAAATAACTATTGATGAATCATATATCTCCAAACTATAGCTTTAAATGTGATCTATGAGAGAACTATGTCAATGGTAACAAGTACAACAAAATACAAGAACACAATGATAAGCTCAACAACTATATTAAAACTTAAACGAAAAGATAAAAATATCCATTGATCTATTACATATTTCTAGGTAAAATATCAAAGGTAACTTATGCAAGAATAGAGAGTTTCAAATTGAAGAATAATTGAAGGTTGGAGATATAGATGTTGGACAGTAACATGTTAGGAGAATCTAAACTAAATGACAAGCTCCACAACTTATACAATAATAAAAATCTGTGAACTAAATGTAACTAACATGCATGCTCAATAACAGAATTAATGTTAAATTTGTATGACTATTCTCAGGTGCTGAAAAGATAAGGAGATGTTGGAGGATGAATAGAATGAGCTTACAAAGAACCAAAACTAATATTGAATGAAGAGATTCATCTACTTCACTCATTCAAGCTCAAGACGATTGTACTCCAACCATGAAAGCAAGGCTACTACATGCTTCAAAGAAAAGTTAAAAGCTTGATCATAAGACTTACTTTACTATAGTGAATCAAGTCAACAATTACTTCATTAGACCCTAAGGTAACCTAAGTGGTGAATGAAAAGAGGCTTGGACTAGGGCACTAGGTGTTGAGAGAATACAAGTATTCTGAGGAGACCAACATACCTGATTAAAGTATGTCATGTTAGGACTCAAACTCTATCCATAAGGGTTATAATCTTTAATGAGATTAGATGTAATTTGGGTCAGTGAACTCAAGAAATTAAAAAATTTCTAGAAGAAAGTAATGAACTTTGAAAGAAGGTTCTTTCAAGATTGGATATAATTTGGTGAAAGATGAACTAATGAAAAAACTCCTGTGTCTCATGAGGTGACAAGTGTGTGAGAGAGACTAGAGTAAATCCACATAGAAGAGGAGATTGACTTAGGAAAATCCGTACACATAATAGAGAGAGACTATGTGAAAACTTATGTTGATACAAACACATAGAAATAGAGTAGAAATATAAAATAGGAAATGAAGGAAACTAATTCATGCCTCCCTATTGGTGTTCCATTAATTACATCAAATCCAACAAGAAAATCATAGTTCATGGTGATTTGAAGAGCACAAATTTTTTATTAAATGAAGAAGTTATGTCCAAATTAGCTGATTGTGGAGTATATTGAATTTCTATCAAAAAAATGGTACCCATTAATAGTCATTGCTTCAACTTAGAGATAGTTTGATTTTGAGTATACTTTAATTTCTTGTAAACATCAGATTTAACACTTGTACAAATATGGACCTTGCAAAGTATATTAGATGTCAAAAAATTAATTTTTAACTCATTTGATTACATATATTATCACATGTCTCAATTAAGAGAGAAAGTGGGCACTTATAATTTTGAAGTTGTACTACTCAAGCAAATGACTAGGCAGCCTCTAGTTATTGGTGGTTTAGGGAAAATGTCAATAGTTTCATGAATCCACTCAAAGATTGAAACATGTGACATCACTATAACTATAGATATGAAACTCCATGTTAAAAATAATACTAATTCTAAATGGAAGACAAATTGTGGTTTCAGTAGCATGTACATCATGCAACTCAAACCAAACACCCAACATGAGTGATGGGGTGATACAATTGAATGAGTGCTCGACTGCTATGGCTTCCCCAACTTAGATAGAAATTTAAGTACCTAAGAGAAATGCCTGATTGATGTCATTTTTTCTCCATTGAATACAAGGATGAACTCATTATTGAGATGATATTTGACATGGCTTGTATGTCATCTCATGACTCAATTTCTATAATATTGTAAATTATTCATGTTTCTTCTTTTGATGAATGAAGGCTTTTGAGTATTAACTACACTAAATTATGGGACAGTAATTTTATTTCTTTGAATGTTGCAGAGTAAAGAGAACATGATACAATGTAAGCTAAAAATGAATCTCTTTAAGTAATGCCTTATCTTACTATTTGGCTTATGTTTTTATATTGTAGTGTCACTTTTGCCTTTGTCTTACCATCCAAAATGTCATGCTCTAAACAAGCAACCCAATTCTTCTTAGATGAATGTGATGGCTAGCTAGTTGACCAGAGTTTAACACAATATTCTGTAAGCATGTAGAGTATAAACTCAGTTTATAGAACCCTCCTAATTAAACCACGTATGATTGAATAATGCTGATATAAGCTTCTACATTTCAAAGGCAAGGATTTTGGAACAACTAAATTATATTAATCTATTTTTAAAGACACATTAATTTTCATTTAAAATATAGGTAATGGAATATGTGGAGACACTACTAAGTATAGAACATGCTGATGGCTTCCTAGTGAGTTGGCAAGTAGGGTTAGCCTAATTTATGAGTACTTGGCCACACAACCCAGC